ATTGATATATTTATATTTAATGTAGTTATATATTGTAAGTTAAAAAATTAGTATAATATAACACAAGTAAGTCGCACAAATAAAAAGTATCATAATAAATATATAATAATAAATTAATTATATTTATCTTTATAATAATAAAAAATAATAATATTTATTAAAAATCATTAGAAAAATAAAATTATTTCTCAATTGATATATTTATATTTAATGTAGTTATATATTGTAAGTTAAAAAATTAGTATAATATAACACAAGTCGCACAAATAAAAAGTATCATAATAAATATATAATAATATATATATTCTTATAAAAGATATTTAAATTTTCAAACTATTTTTTCTCATTAATTTTAAATTTTAAGAAAAAAATTAGCAAGCACCCGTGTAATACACGGGTGTTGTACTAGTATAGTTAAATTAAAAATGATTGGATTTTTGGGTTGAATTTGTATCAAACATGCTCTTTAAGAGTTCGGTAATTAGGATCAAAATTTCCAAGTTCAAGACACGAGAGAGGATAAGCCGTGATTGATGAAAAAAAATTAAAAAAAAATTAAAGCAATTATTTATAAAGGATACAAAGACAAATCCACCGTGATTTCAGTGCGTGAAAAAGAAAAAACAAATGAAATATTAATTAATTAACATGGTGTCCATTGACCATATATTGCGTAATGTGTATAATCAACGTGCCTTCATATTTTAACTCCCCAAGATATTATTAATCACAGAATACGCGTCACTCAGTGAACGACTTTAGAATTTTGGTACCCATAAAAATACGAAAAAGAAAAGGAACATTTAGCAAATTTCCATCTCTCATCGTCCACAGAAAAAAGGCCTAATTGATTAAGCATGCGGAGAAATGGTAACCCGATTCAAAAGCAGCATCAGCAGCAGTGGATAATTAGGCCGGAGAACCCGTGGATTGTGGGGGTGGCCGTGGTGGGCCTGATGGGCGGCGTGTTGCTCCTCAGCTCCCTGGCCCTAACCTCATCCGGGCATCTCTGCACACGTGCCGGCCCAAACGAGACGCCCCTTCAGCTTCGAGCCGTCCTCCACTATGCCACCTCACGGGTTGTGCCCCAGCAGTCCCTAGGCGAGATCAGTGTTTCGTTCGAGGTTCTCCGGGAGCTCGGGCCGAGCAACTTCCTGGTGTTCGGGCTTGGCCATGACTCCCTCATGTGGGCCGCGCTCAACCCACGTGGCAGGACGGTGTTCTTGGAAGAGGACCCCAAGTGGGTCCAGACGGTGTTGAAAGACGCCCCCGACCTCCGCGCCCACACCGTGCGCTATCGAAATCAGCTCTCCCAGGCGGATGAGCTGCTGCGTCATTCCCGGATTGAGCCTCTTTGTGCGCCTAACACCACTTTCCTACGTGCCAATCACAAATGCAGGTGTGCGGACCATATTACTCCACAAATGAACTTCTCTATCTTTTCAATTTCTCTCTCTTTCGCTATCTACTTTTATTGAAAGATTATTAACGGTGGATATAATTATGTATGTTAGCCATCACACATTCTAATTAGAATAATTCGCCATATCTAAAAATACACATATATATATATATAACCACTAAAAAAATATACTCTGATAACTAAGTTTAAACAAACGAGCAATAAATTTTTTTTTTTTATCCGAAAAGAATTAGAAAATCTAAAAACCCCTAAAAATTTGAAAAATAACCGAATAAAAAAAAAGAAAATTACATCTTAGACCCTCTACAACTGCATCCGAAATGCGATTGCAAATTGAAATAGAAGTTAATTTATTTACGCAAAAAAAAAAAAAGTCTGTGATCTTGGAAATAATGATATGAATAAGAGTGGTGAAAATGTGGGCGCAGGTTAGCCTTGGACACGTTACCAAATGAGGTGTACGACACAGAGTGGGATTTGATAATGATAGACGCGCCTCGCGGATATTTCCCGGAGGCGCCTGGGAGGATGGCTGCCATATACTCGGCAGCCGTGATGGCCAGGAACAACAGGAAGAATAAATCCGGTGTAACGCACGTATTTTTGCACGACGTGGACCGAAAGGTGGAGAAGATGTATGCTGAGGCCTTCTTGTGCAAAAAGCATTTGGTGAAGGCTGTTGGGAGGCTGTGGCACTTCCGGATACCGCCTACCCTTCACGTCAACGATCAATTTTGCTAGGAATGCACGATTTGACTTATTAATTGAAGTTATTATTAGTTCAATACATGTGTTAAAGAAAATTTTTCCTGTGGACTACTATGGGTGACAGAACACGTTGGGGCTCCTTGGTTTTTTTGCTCCTTTCCCATGTGGTAGTTATGTATTTGTATTTTTAATGGCAGACAATCGGCACAGATGTAGGAAAATTCCCTT